AGGGGGTGGATTTACCATACCTTACCATACTCATTTCATGGAGCTTCAGTGGTTAGACTCTCAGAGCAATTTTCCTCTACTAATTGATGCTCTATAGTGAAGAACCTGGCTGTTCTTTGTTCCTGATTCCTGGGAGGTCCGGAGCCTCGAGGTACCTGGAATGTCTTTTGTTAGTCATGGTGGGCACTTGGCTAGCTATAGGATGGGGATTGGACAAGCTGAAAAACCGAACGGGCGATTAGAGGTTTGTGCCTTTGATCCAAGTGACCCTCCTGGGACGGGAGAGGGGATGGACAAGGATTCAATCAACCATGCCTACATAGTGAAGCCTAATAAAAACCCTTTGAAGCTAAGGTGAGCTTCCTGGTTGGTAATATACACTGATGCACTGGGAGGGGAAATGACCAGAGCAAATGGAAGCCGTGCCTTTGGGAAACTCCAGCTCTCACCCTCTCTGGCTCTGATTTGTCACTCTGGCAAAGTGTTGAATCTGAGTGGGTAGTGGCCACCCTCAAATGTGTAGCTATTTGATCAGAAGTACGGGTGGCCTGGGAACCCCTGAGCTTGTGGCTGGTGTCTGCAGAGCCAGCCCACATGATGGGTGTGCCTTGGGAAATTAAGGTCAAAACTGCTTCAAAACAGGTAGTTTTAAAAAGATGTTTGCAGCTCACTTTCTGAATAACTGACTTTTCTGAAGAATACGCCCAGTGGAATAAAATAAAAAAGTGAGCAGACTATTTTAGAACATAGAATTAAAATGAAGAGACATAAGGACCGTAAGGAATGAGACCTGACAGGATTGTGGACTTTTGGAAGCCATAAGAAACATGTTGAAGACTACTACAGAAATTCACATATGGAGTTCATATGAGACAACATTACTGCTTCACTGTCACTTTTCAAGTGTGACAACGTGTGTTATGTGGGGACACCCTTGCTCTTAGGAATCACCTGTGGTATATCCAGCGGTCAAGTGTCAGGAGCATCTGCAAACAGTCGTGTGTGTACAGCGACGAGGGACACATTTAGGCAAAGGGTGCACGTGCACTAAACGTGTCACTCTTTCACCTTCTCAATAAAACTGAGGTTTGTGTTTGTTTTACATAAAAACTTGGGAGAAATGCAAAGGTTAAAAAAAAAGAAAAAACATAAAATTTGGTAAAATTTAACTCACTGAAGTGAGGGGATGGGTATCTGGGGGTCTCCAACTATTCTATTTTTGCATACGTTTGAAATTTCAAGATAAAACATCTTTATAAAATGGTATCAGAAAGGTTTTACCCTTTGAAAACAATTGTTTTCAATTGTATTCAATTGTTTCTAAAACTTCCTAATCTTAAGCCTGTTTCCTTGGTTCCTACTTAATTAAGAGATTCATTGTTTTGTTTGTATTTTTATCCATTTACTAAGGATGTCCAAAAGCAGTGTTCCAATTATCTCAGAGGATAATTAAAAAGCAATCAAAGAAAGTCACAGTTCCTACCCTTCTGTCTAGTTGTAAAACAAGACACAAAGACCCAAATAGGTAATGAATTACAGTATGTAAGGAACAGGGCCTGACTAAGGGAAATCAGTGTGGGCTGGAACCAGCTGTATCATGGGGCATATGTCCTCCCTGGAGGGAGAGAGAGGAGAAAGTCAAGGGAGTCAGCCAGGATCCCAGAAGATGGGCAGACAGTAGGTGCTGGGCAGTGCTAGGGCAAGACAGGAGAAATATGAAATGAGGCGACAACTGGAAACAGGGAATGAGAGAGAAGGGAGTCAAACCAGATGGCAAGGTTTTAAACCTGAGTCTGGAAACACAAGGCGCTGATGATGGAAAGAAAGATTCTAGGAGCCCACCTCCCATGGGCCCAACGCCCCACCCCCGCCCCTGCCAGATCCACCAGGGCCCAGAGATGAACTCTGCAGGGAGCCTTCAGATCACACCCCGCCAGCCTTGCTCATTGCTTAAAATGTACCTCCTTTGGTCACTTTTCATTCTTACCCTCTGCTCTCATTTTCTTTCTCCTGATTCCAAACCCAATTATTTCCTGCTCTAGCCCCCTTTTTTCCTCCATACTCTGTGAGGTCCCCATTCCACAGTGTGCAGTCACCCATGTTCTCAGCCTCCTCACTGAACACTCCCCTCCGCTGGCCGTACTTCACATCACACACCTGTGTGCGCATACAGACACATGTATGTCATCACACACACACACACAGACATCAGGGGCATCCTTCTCACTCCCCCTAATGCTGTTCCCAGACTCTCTTATTCTAAAAGCCCCTACCTCTTACCTGAGGTCACACACAGCAGGAGCAGTGGTTCTGACACTGGATTTATTTTGCTTAGTAAGATCTTAAAAAAACAAACCATGCCCCCCCCCCACCCCGCCCACAGTTTCAAAACAGAAAGCACTTTTATTTCCAAAGAAAACAGGAAGGGTCTTATCTTGAAGTAAAGGACATTCCTCTAAGTGAAATAATTTAGCTTTATGAAGGGCATACCAGAGGCCACTGCCCTCAAACCATCACTCGTGTGTGCGTGTGTGTGTGTGTGTGAGTAAGCCCCTCCTCTCCTTGTGTGAGCAACACACCTAACCCTTTGACTGCCTGCCCCCCTCCACCCCACGCCCTCCTGCCCCCCTCTCTCCCAGCTGCCCACTCCTGCGGCCACACTTGAGGCGCTCCCTCCCAGCACCTGTGGCCACGACGCCTGCTCTTCCTGCTCCTGCGTCCCCAGGAGGCCCTGCTCTCCAGTTTCCTGACCCATCTCCCTCCTATCAGTCCCCCCGCCGCGCCCGTCATGTGCCATATCCCACGGTCCATCATGACAGTCTCTCTTGCTGACGTCCTCAGTTCTCTCATCTCAGTGACCCCTACCTGAAGCCACTTATAAAAACTTTTGGTGGATTAAATCTGATTCCCCATTTTGACACCCTCGTAGCGGAGTGTCCACAGCAAAGCCCCCAAGTGTCTCACACTCCCTCCCCTCCCCTACTGACCCTGGCCTTGGCCACGCGTCTGGCCACACCCTTACACATTGGAGCTCACGTCTATACGGCTCTGGGCAGTCTGTCACCATGTTAAAGACAGGGCTAGCACACTGGAGAATAAGAGGACCCACCAAGGCACCCCAGTCAACAGTCAACCAGCCCCCTGGCCCTCAGCTGCCCCCAGCCACGGGGTGAGCCCCAGGTGAGACAGCTGGGCCTGGCTCGGCTCAGCAGACAGGACCAGCTGAGTCCAATCCAAGGGCTGGGAAAACTGCTTTCAGTCACTAAGTGTCTGGTAGTTTGTTGTTTAAGAAAAGCTAATTTGTATAACTCAGAGGCTAAACATCACTGGAAGAAAATTTACATGAGAGAGGAGCGTCAGCTATTTTCTACTTCTCTTCTACTCCTTGTTGCCAAACACCAAAGTTTCTATGGGAAAGAAAAGCCAAGAGATGAGAACTTTCTCCATTTCAGGTCCCCCCACCTGCCCACACCAGGCCCTGTCTCCTCCCTGACCCTCGCCCTCTCGGGGCCCTGACTCCCACCCTTCTCGTCCTACCGCACCCCATCAGTTTAACCTCTCCTACCTTAAAGACACCATCAGTAACAACAAAAATTGATTCCTGACTGCTTTTCAAACGCTACAATTTTCACTCAAGAGCTATTTGGAAGTAGTAGGCCCAGACTTAGCTTTTTGCTGCTTTTTAAAACCTTTTCTCCCTCACACACATACACCCACATCATTCCCTGACTGCCGCCTGGCCTGACTCCCTCCCGACCCCAGTGCACTGAGGGGACCATACCAGCCTCCCGCGCCAGCGTTAAACCCCAGGCACACGTTCCTGTGTATTTCAGTCTCTGTGGTGTCTGCGGCCTATGGCTTGGGCGTCTCTGTGGAGTCTCGCCCGCCTCCCCACCCTTGAACCCCATCTGGGGATCCCACACTCTGAGGGGACCTCACTTACCACACGGCTTCCGTCACCTAGGCCACTGGCTCTGCATTCCAGGCACAGCTCCGACTCCACGTCCATTGGCCTGGAGACGGCTCCCCCAGGAGTGCCTCAGGCACCTCAGTCAATGTCCTCCACCAAACTCCTTCCCCTCTGCCCAGAACCTGTTCCTCTACCTTCCAGCGTCTCTGAAATCCACACAACTCCACCCTCTCCGAGCTCCTCTTTCTTAGGCCTGTCTCACAACCTAAGCCCCACTTAGACATGCCCACTTCCATCCGGGTCCACGAGCACCTCCCCACCTGAAGGCACTTTCATCTCTCGCGTGGGTAATTCAACAGCCTTCTACTCGGTCTTCTCGCGATAACACTTCCCGGTCCTCCATCTTCCCCACTGCAGCTAACATGACTGTCCTAACCAGGGAAAATGATCACTTCTGCCATGGATGTTGTATTTGATCCTGACTTTCTAGTACTTCACACACCGGCATGTGATAATCAATAATGCTTCCTGGGTGATACAAGTAAATTCCTGGAAAGTCCAGGGGGCCAACACTTGGACCAACCAACTAAAGACGTAAGTTTCACAGATTAACGTTATGAAATGTGTGAAAAGCCCAGTTTGACAACCAAACAGTAACACCAAAGCTAAGCAGAGCTTGCATTAGTTCAGTTCAGTTCAGTTGCTCAGTCGTGTCCGACTCTTTGTGACCCCATGAACCGTAGCACGCCAAGCCTCCCTGTCCATCACCAACTCCCGAAGTCCACCCAAGCGCATGTCCACTGTGTTGGTGATGCCATCCAACCATCTCATCCTCTGTCGTCCCCTTCTCCTCCTGCCCTCAATCTTTCTCAGCATCAGGGTCTTTTCAAATGAGTCAGCTGTCTGCACCAGGTGGCCAAAGTATTGGAGTCTCAGCTTCGTATCTTAGACTTAAAGCAATTAACAACAAGGTTTACATCTATCTCTTTAAATTACTGCTCCCTTGTCCCTCTTCCTCTCTCAAATACCAAAATTGCTTTTACTTTCCAACAGAATAGAAAAGAAGTCTGAACGTTTAACATTTACTTACGTGCAAAGAATTGACTGGTCCTCACGATCTAGAAAACAAAATAAATAGAAATACATTGAATATTTGCCTGTTTTTTAAAAATATTTGATAAATAATAAATAGCCTGATAGCCTCTAAAATATTAGGAACTCTGCCCCTCTTAGGCCAAGTTAATGTTTTCCAATCCTGTTATGTATTACACAATCCTAAATTCAGTCAAGTTCATCATTCTCATGCCAGATTATCTGGGGTAGGTAACAATCCAGGCTCAGACAATTTTATATGCCTAACGAACCTGGATTCTTGAAGCTTGCTGCTCATCAGTCAACCAGGAAGTTTTATAGAAGCAAACTTCGCAGAGCTCCACCTTTGGGGGAGGGACTGAAAACTGCTTTTTACTTAGGTTCCCCAAGTGATCCTGATGCAGGGCCAGGCTTGGAAACCACTACCTTTCAAGAAAACCCACAACCAGAGAGAAATCGTTATTAATACGGACCTTAAGGAAGAAAAAAAAAAGGATCAAACACTGAGGGGATATGATTAAGGGAGGATAAACATCTGTAAGAGTTTAACAACCGTCTCAAGTCAGAACATTAAACAGAGCAAAAACAAGGAAAGAATATAAAATGAAAAAAACTATCATGACTTTAAAGTGATAAATAATTTAAGTATTCATATTTAGGGCTTCCCTGGTAGCTCAGTTGGTAAAGAATCCACCTGCAAAAGCAAGAGACCCCAGTTCAATTCCTGGGTTGGGAGGGTCCCCTAGAGAAGGGAATGGCTACCCACTCCAGTACTCTGGGTCTGGAGAATTCCATGGACCGTACAGTCCATGGGATCCACAAATAAAAAGGTTAAATACAAACCAATAGCCTTTCTTGGGCATGTCCTTCCTGGATCCATAAGCACTTGGATGACCTCCACCTGCCCTTCCTGCTCAGCTCAGTCATATCTCTTCTGTGGGTCCCCTCCAGACCCTCTTCCTCAGGCTCCTCACTGCTTCCTTCTTTTGACCATATTTTGGGGTTAGACAAACAATACTGCCAACTGCCTGCCCGACTAGTATGTGCTGCCTAAGGTCAGAGCACATCTTGCATCTTTACTCCCAGACTTAACAGCCAGCCTTAGGTCAACTTAGAGAATCCAGTGTGAGGAGCCAGGCAAGGCACTGGCAAGACACTGGGAACTAGAATCTTCTGTCCTAGTTCCAACCCTGCTGCAAACTGCCCACGTATCTATAAATGAGACGTTGATTCCTTGCTGGTTTCGGGCTCTTCACCTATAAAACTAGGATTTTACCAAGTTTTTACATATTATTCACTCTAAACATGAACCCTCACACCCCAAATTGTCCTGGTCTGAGAATCTTTATAGAACTCCACTTATCCAAGTTTTCAGCGCTTGACTGAACTAGTTTACACATTAGAGAAATCAAAACACACGCCAAAAAGTAACCACAATCAAATGGCCTCCTAACTTATTCAGAGCAGCTTTCTTCCTGCATCTGGACATGCTATTTTGATTGTGTGAAATCTGAGCTCTTCACAACCACAATCTACCCTTCAAATCTGCTCTGTAGTTCTTCTCCCCATGCTTCTCACCCCACCCCACCCCAATAAAACAAAGGAACTCTCTTTGCAGGTGGGCCCATCTGTTCTTGTCATGTCTTGCATCAGCTTTGGGCCTCAGTTTCACTATCAGTACAATCAGGTGAGGGCTTGGCAACCTCCAAGATTCCCTCCATAGAATACTCTATAACTGAATCATTCCTTCTTTCTGCTTCACTGAATTCTCTTCACCCTTTGAGGATCAGCTTAGGCATCCCAAATGTTTACAGTGAACTTTATACTCTAAGAACCTATCAATGTAACTAGACTCAGCATATATTACAGTGACATTTAAGGGAAATACTTTACGTTCAGAAATGCAACTAGCCTTCTAAAGAGGAGAGATTCATTTGATTGCTCAGTTATTGTCCACAGCACCTCCCCCAAACCATAATGAATTAAATTGTATTTTCAACAGTGAAAATGATTTTAGATCAGTGACCTCAGCTCCTACCTTAAAAAACTAGAAAAGAACAAATTAAACCCACAATGAGTAGAAGAAAAAAAATTATAAGGAACAAAAATCAGAGAAATGGGAAAACAGGAAAAGAAAATGGTGGCCAAATGCTGGTTCTTTGAGATAAATTTCTAGACAAAATGATCAGAAATAAGACACAAATTGCCAACGTCTGGAACAAGAAAGGGAAAACCACTATAGGTCCCAGAGATACTAAAAGGATAATAAGGAAATATTAGAAGCCACTTTCTGCTAAAAAATTCAACAACTAAAATGAATAGAATGATTTCTTTAAAGGACAGACTACTAAAGTTCATTCGAGAAGAATCAATAACCTGAACAGATGCCGAAAAGACATTCAATAAAACAACATCCATTCATGAGTGAAAACAAAAAACACAGCAAACTAGGAACACAAGGGAACTTCAACAACTTGATAAAGTGCATCTACAAAACACCTGTAGTTAACATCATGCTTAATGGTGAAAACTGAATGCTGTCCTCCAGAGACCAGGAATAAGACAAGAATGTCTGTTCTCACACCCATTCAACATCACAAATAAAAATAATTAAGCATACACTTGAAAAGGAGGACATAGCAGTGTGTCTCTGCAGAGGACATGACTGTCTAGAGATAATTCCAAAGAGTCTACCAAAAAAATTTCCAGAATAAGTGACTTCTGCAAGGTTGCAAAAGATATCAATACATGTATTTTTAAAATAATATTTCTATATCTCAATAGTGAACAACCAGTAATTAAAATTGTAAAGTTCCATTTAACACTAAAAGCAAGAAATGCTTAGTTATCCTAAGGTATTTGCTACACTTATAATGAGTATGTGTAAGATCTATGTGCTAAAGACTGTAAAACACCAATGAAATAAAAGAAGACCTACATTAACAGAGAGACAAACCATGTTCATGGATTGGAAGACTCAATACTCTTGTCAGTTATGCCCTATTTGTTCTACAGGTTCAGTGCAATCCAATCAAAACGTGAAAAGTGGGACATTTTTAGAAAATGGCAAGTTAATTTCTAAAATTTTATTGAAAGACAAAGGAACAAAGGTGGAAAATAATTTTAAGATTTATTATATGACTATTATAATCAAGATGGTATGAAAAAGGACAAATGTACAGATCAAAGGAACAGAATCCTGACAAAGCAATTCATTGGAGAAAAAAAATGTTTTCTCAATAAATGATGGCAAGATCTACTGGATATTCACATGCAAAACAATGAACTTCAATCAATATCTTGCACCATAAATAAAAATTAACTCAAGATGGATCACAGATTGAGGGGGGAGAAAATCACAAGCACTTATCCAATAAAGGACTTGCAGTTGAAAAAGAGAAAGAGTTCTCAAAAGTGAATAATGAGAAAACAAACCATCCAATTTTTTTAATGGTTAAAAGATTTGAACACTTCACCAAAGAAGACATACAGGTGGCATAAGCACATCAAAAGATGCTTAATATCCTTAGTCACCCGGGAAATGCAATTTAAGACCACAATGAAATACCACTGCACACTTATCAGACTACAATTTAATGAACAACCAACAACACCAAGTGCTGACAGAAAGCAGAACTGGAACTTTCACCCACTGATAGTAAGGATGAAAAATGGCATAGCCATTTGGAAAAGAGATTGGTAGTTTCTTACAAAGTTAAAAATACACCTACTGTGTGACCCAGCAATCCTACTCCCAATTATTGAGTCATATGAAATTAAAACTTACACTCACAAAAACCTAGTACACAAATGATCCTAGTGTCCTAATTGCCAAGAAACGTAAACTATCTAAATGCCCTTCAGATGATAAGTGAACGAACAAACTGTAGAACACGCATACAATGGAATACTATTAGAAACTAGAAAGGAGCGAACTACTGGTAGATGACACTCAAATACACTATGTCAGTGAAAGAAGCCAGACTCAAAAGGCTAACCCGTGTCTGATTACATGACGTTCTGGAAAAGGCGAAACTAAAGTGACAAAGGAAAAAAATCGGTGGTTGTCATGGACTAGAGGAGAGGGAATGACTATAAGGAGAATGTAGAAATCTGGATGGAGGATAGAACTGTTCTGTATCTTGATTGTAGTTACATAACTAGATGTATTTGTCAAAAGTCAAAGAACTATACACTAAAAAGGCTGAATTTTACTGCATGTAAATGATACCTTAAATAAAACTGCATATATTTATTTTTCCCGTCCAGCAACATGTTACATATGTCTCTACACTTAAGACTTCAAAAATGTTTAGCAATATAAGAAATACTGCCTTATATTTGGGTTCTACCTATTTTTATTCACTGCTAACATTTATTGGAGAAGACCCTGATGCTTGGAAAGATTGAAGACAAAAAAAGAAGGGGTCAACAAAAGATGGTTAGACAGCATCACTGACTCAATAGACATGAATTTGAGCAAACTCCAGGAGATAGTGAAGGCCAGCAAAGCCTGGCATGCTGCAGTCCGTGGGGTCGCAAAGAGGCAGACACGACTTAGCAACTGAACAACAACAAAATATTTAATTTTGGCTAAAGGATAAGCACATCTTTACATTTATCACTCAGTCAAATCAGTTTCGCCCCCTCACTAGCCCTTTCACCTCTGATGCTCGTACCCTCTTAGTTGTCTTCATAGCCCTTATCACATTATGTCTTCATTTTTTGGTATCCTCAATGGGATAACTAGAAGGGTTTTCCTACATTTTACAGTTTCTCAGAGTAAGGAGTATTACTGTTTCCCACTGTCTGTATTTCCACATTATAAGAATCAATACATAGATTCAAGGCAACTATAATTCATTATAAAACATTCTTTTGCCTGACATAAAAATAATGCCCATTGTCCGTTTCTGCTTTGACTTCTACTTTAGACCTGGGGTGATTTAACTGGTGCTTTCTCTTTGTACTATTTGGCTGAGGAAATGCTCATCATTGCACTGCTATTATTTTTCTACTTGGAGAC